TCCCTCCCTCCCTCCCTCCCTCTGTTCCTCCCTCCCTCCTTTTATTTTTTATTTTTGAGACAGGGTCTCACTGAGTAGCTATTACATGAGAATTCTATCTCTTCTTAATGGGCAAGACAATCCACTCAAGCCTTTGGGCTGGGCTGATCTTTAAGAAACAACTGTTGTTTCTTTAAACTTGGGTTTTCTTCTCGGCTTGTGCAGCAAAATAACATTTCAGTGTCATCATATACTATGCTGTGATATCTTTATCATGACAAATTAGCGCTCATAAAGCAAAAGGTATCTACAGCCATTTGAGGGCCGCACTGAAGCAGTATCTAACAGGTCTGCCCAAAGACTAATAATCTTGTGTGTCTGTTAATTACAGCTGATAAGGGCCAGTCTCTGAGAAGTGACACGTTAATGCACAGATGTGTTTAGGAAAGGAAGAAAAGATTTTTGTCTGTTGGAAAGAAATAACCCCTCTTCCGAAACTTACTAGTAGTGCCATGTAGGAAATTATTAAATTTATCTCTAACTGAACAAAAAAGGTTTTCTTCTTCCTTTAAAAAAAATTATGTGTCTATGTGAATGTGTCAGTGTGTGGGTATGTGTATGTGAGTGCAAGTCGGGCAGAAGAGGCAGTGCTGGATCCCCTGAAGCTGGAGCAATAGGAAGTTGTGAACTGCCCAGCACAGGTGCTAGGAACCAAATTCAGGTCCTCTGCAACAGCAGTACATGTTCTTAAATGCCCAGCAACCTCTCCAGGCCCACCAAAGGATTTTATTTTCCCTTCGTAGGGGACTACAGTACTTGATCATCTTGGAACCCGTTTGTTTTCTTCCTTATTTCAACATTAACAACTGAAATGTCTCTCACACATGTTTATTTTACATTGATATGAAAGTCATACTTTTGAATCTTTTTAAAGCCTATTTGGCGAGTGTACAAAAGTATGTAGGTCTGGCTGCTATCCTTTGCAAGCTGCTGAGCAGGTTGGCCCGCAGCTGGCACTTGGGAACCTGGATTTAAGGAGCGTTCCTACCCTCTGATGAGAGTAGCTAAAACTGTGAAAACTACACACACGGTTTATGGGCATCATCTGCTTTTCTTTTACGACTACGGAATGTTGGTGCATGCCAGACAGATAGTGTCTACTTGACCAGCTTCCAGTAATGACCCTGGGCACTGAGGCTACTGAAGTTCCCTGGTAAATAAGGTTTCACAATGCTATCACAACCTGTTGCTGAGTAATTAAACATGTCTTGTATAACTGTAGGGAGGGCACTCACAGAAGCGTGCATCTGGATTCCTCTAGACTACCCGTTTTCCTAGGCTGATTTTACTCTGCAGCTTTCTGCTTTAATAAATCTTAGCTGTAATTACATCCCAAATGTTAAGAACACTCCTAGCAAATCACTGAATGGGGGGGTATCTCGAGGATCTTCTGATTCAGCTAGTTACAGGCACTTTTATGTAAAGCTTCTAAAGTATCTCTTAAATAAATTGACTGATATTAAGCAAAGCCCAGATTTCACACAAGAGGAATATGCTTCAAGGTTATTCAAATGAAAACCAAGGTCTTTTTCAAAATGCAAATATCTGAAATCAACTCACTGGTGTCCTGGTACGACCCATCGGGGCAGTGAACAACACAGCTGCTGGTTTCTTCATTCAGGATATCCATATTTGCAGGACAGGCACTGGTCACCATGGTTGCCAAAGCAAGACTCACAGTTGGGTGCACATTTCTGACACCGCTTTTTGTCAGCATGGTAGTGGCCAGGGGGGCAGGTGGAGACACAGATTCTGCATTACAGGATGGTAAGAGAAAAGGTTACTCATCAGCAACTCAGTCCTCAGCACTTGTGTAGGAAAGCTGAGAGCTGTCTTCAGCCTTCAGGTCAGTTTGCAACCAGGATGCCTATATCAAATCCAAAAGGCCAAATGGGTCTGGTAAAGCTTCTTCCTGTGCAGAGAGCAAAGGAGCAATGCAGCTAGACAGCATTACATCCAGCAAGCAAGGGTTTCTTGGTCCTATCATCTTCTAGTTAAGGTCCAGCTCTGTAAAACAAATGATGGCTTGACTTTGAGTCTCAGCAACAAGCTTATATTGCTGATCACAGGGAAACTATATGTGAATCACAACTTTATGGAAAAAAATCACTCTAAAAGGGGTTCTTTCAACTTTTAACTATAATTTGTTATATGGAGGCTGTGTGTGTACATGTGGGTAGATGTGGTATGTTCTTATCCAAATTAACATAAATATAATTTAAGTTTTGTTTCAGAAACTTTCTTCTGTTTAAAAAAAATAACTTCCTTATTTGTCTAAAACAGAAGACAGGGCTTTACTTATTTTTATTCAACAAATATTTATTGAGCGCCAATTAAAAATCAGACATTTTGGAAAAAAAATCATTTTGGAAGTACAATAGTCAACACAAACACTGAGGTGGCTAAGAGCCTTTTTCCTTGAGGAACTTAACTTCCAGCAAAGATTTAAACAGGAACCTGAGCATGGCCGGGTCTCTCTGGCTGCCTGAGCTATGAAGGCACCGTCTCTCAAATACATTTTTGCCTTCAATTGGAGGCAGCGGGTAGGCTGGGCTGGAAGGACACAGGGTAGGTCTGATGGGCTTTATGAGGTCAGGTACCATCGGGCATATCTGCATAGCCAGGCAGTAGCCAGGGCTTAAAGGTACAGGTCCATCGCCATGTCTAAAGTGGAAGAGTAAGAAAAGAGACCATTACCTTTGCCATTTTGTCCCCAACGTGGTCTGGCATGGTGGAGGATGTGGGAACCACCTGTCTGGTCCAGGCTCTGGCATTCTCAGGAAGGGCAAATACAACCAGTGCACAAAATACTAACGGGACAGAAATGACACAGAACTTCACCTAGATAGGATGGTGAGAACTAATACTTGAAAATTGCTAGGAGAGTTGGTTTTAATGTTCTCATCACAAAACTGATGCATATGTGAAAGTGTATGAGAGAATGCACGTTAGATAACTTTAATCATTGTATACTGCCTGCACATTTCAAGACATCATGTGGTATACCATAAATGTAAGTAAATTTTACTTGATAATCGAAAAAGACAAGTTATATGCACAGCTGGTATCATCTCATCACACCTTCAAATGTACCAGAAGACATCTGCAGTCATGACACACAGTCTGTCAACCTGACTGGACTGGGAATCGCCTAGGAGATAAACCTAAAATGTGCTTGTAAGAGTATTTTCCAGAGGTTTCATTGAGGACCCACACTAAATGTTGCAGCACCATGCCATGAACTTGGTTCCCAGACTGAACAAAAAGGAAAAAAAGGAGAAAGGAAGTTCAGCACCAGCATCACTATCTTCTGACTGTTGATGCAATGTGACGAGCTGCCTTACGTTCCCATCACCATGCCTTTACCATCAGATGGACTGTACCCAAAGTGTGAGTCAAGACTCTGTTCTTTAATTTGTTTTGACAGGTGTTTTGTCATAGCAAGGAGAAAAGTAAATAATGCAGAGAACTGACACTGAGAATGGGTTTATCTGCTGTGATAAATCTGACCATGTGGTTTGTAGGTTTACAGGAGGAATATGGAAGAATTTGGAGCTTCAGGCTAGAGAAGCCCTGAAATGCTTTAAGGAGAGCTTAAATGGACCATCCTGGCAGGAATTTAGAAGACCAGAATGCTGAGAAAAACACAGGCAATGGAGGTCCAGCTCATGAGGTTTCAGAGGGGAATAAGGACTGTATTCGGAACTGGGATAGAGGTCACTCATGTTATGAAGAATCTAATTAATTACATTCTCCCTGCATACTGAAAATTTGAGTGAGGCTCAGTTCAAAAGTAAAGGACTAAGTTGTTTGGCAGAGGAAATTTTAAGACAGCATAGCATCTAGGCTGTGGTATGGTCACTGCTTATTACTCTTTGTCAGATCCACGCTGAGGAAAATGTAGAAAAATACGGAAAATGTTAGGTCCAGTGAGGAAAGCAGAGGAAGAGAATTTAAAGCAACAAGCAAGGACAGAGGTGTAATTCCTAAAGAGATACTATCATTAAGGAGAAACCTTGAACTCTTTACTGAGACAATAGGAAAGGTGCCCTGAAGGTAAGATCACACCCATTAAATATTCTTACTTGTGAAAATGAGAGTCCATCTGAAAGGAGACAGACTGAACTGAGAATGCTGCTGAAGGGGTTCCTTGGTGAAAAAGCAACTGCTTATGTTCAACTGCCAAGGCAAGATGCCATTATACCTGTGGTAAATGGGGGTCAAACTACATTTCAAGCTCAGAGAAGAATTTGGCAGCATTGTCCACATGGTGCTGTTCTTTTAATTTTATTTTTTTTCAAGAAATACAGTATTATGGAGACTTGCAACAAGGTTCCAGAAAGTCATCCATGACATTCAAAGTAGGACAAGGTGAGGTTCTCTGCAAAATGGCCCTGAGAGGTATTGTGTGAATCTGTGAAGGTAAAGCCTAAGCTGCAATGGGGAGCTGAGGCTACTGGCGCCACCAGGACTATGAGATGTCCATGAAGGAAAGCTGCAAGCACTAAGCTCTACGAGAGAAGATATCCAGGTAGTAGAAGTTGAGGGGCTGGGATACAAGACTGTTGGAGCCCAAATGGTACCAAGAGTCTCAGACACCAGATATGGAGCTACAGGATTTGGTGTTTGCCCTACTAGGTTTTGGTCTTACTTTGGCCATAATTACATTTTCCTCTATGTCCCCATTCCTTTCTTTCGGAATGGGAATGTATATTTTATATCATTACATATTGGAAGCATGGAACATAGATTTTTATTTTATAGGGGATTACAGTTAAGAGTAAGCATGCAGCCAGGCATGGTGGCATATAACTTTAATCCCAGCGCTTGGGAGACAGAGGCAGGTAGATCTCTGTGAGATTGGGGATAGCCTGGTCTACACACTGAGTTCCAGACCAGTTAGGGCTACAAGGAAACCATGTCTCAAAAAATAAAAAGAGTCAATATGCAGAGACTTTGAAATTTTGAATAATTAGAACTGTTAAGGTTCTGAGAATTCTTATAGATGAACTGAACATATTTCACAGTATAACATGGTTTTAAGTCTTTGAGGATCAGGGGTGGAATATTATTAACAATGATATGTTTTGGTGCTAAGTTGACCAGAAGTAGACCTGTAATGGCTAAATTTCATTGTCAACCTGAATAGATCTGGAGTTGCCTAAGAGACACACCTCTGGCTGTGCCTTTGAGGGCATTTCTAGGGAAGTTTAACAAACAAAGATCTACTCTGAATGTAGGCCAGATTCCCAAACTAAATAAAAAAAAGAAAAGAAGAAAAAGCCAGCTACACACTGATGTTCACTGGTCTCTTTCCTCACTAAGGATGCATTGTGACTAGCTGCCTTAAGAAATGACTACCATGCTTTTCTATTCCACGATAGACTGTGTCTCTTCAATTAAGAGCAAAAATAAACTTTTACTTCCTCAAGTTGCTTTTGTCAGATCTTTTGTCACAGCAATGAGAATAGATTCCCAAACTAAATTAAAAAAAAAAAAAAAGAAAAAGAAAAAGCCAGCTACACACTGATGTTCACTGGTCTCTTTCCTCACTAAGGATGCATTGTGACTAGCTGCCTTAAGAAATGACTACCATGCTTTTCTATTCCATGATAGACTGTGTCTCTTCAATTAAGAGCAAAAATAAACTTTTACTTCCTCAAGTTGCTTTTGTCAGATCTTTTGTCACAGCAATGAGAAAATCTACATGCCAATTTTGCATTGTGTAACTCAGTATGGTTTTACCATCGTGAATGACATGGTCAGTGGGACTCAGCAGGTGCATCTTTGCTGTGCTTAGAGTTTTGTAGGGGGACCTGGGAAGATGATGATATCGAAGCATACTCTATGTGGTTGACCTTACCGGAATGCCAGGGGCACTTGTGTCATACTATGAGGAACTTGTAAGAATGTGGCCTCTTACCTGGTATTATTTTTCAGCTTATAGTAGTAGTGCAAACAGTCACTGCAGTGTTCTGGTCCTGGCCCGTCACAGCCAACTTCACTGCATTCAGGATCACAGGGACCTTTAGAAGTTGGAAAAAGAATATGATTCTAGTAGGTCAGTTTTATCCTGACTTTGGAATAGAATGATATTTTACTTCCTTGCCTCCCAGCAGCAACAATGTCTTAAAGATGGAGAAATAATGGTCATTGTAACTATAAGTCCAGAACTGAACTCTTGACTTTAACTGGCAAAACAGAGTTGCATAAGTGTCAAGAATGTAAACTGTAGGCATGGCCTGGTCTTCAAAACACATACAGCTGTTTTGGGAGAGAGAGCAAGTGCTTCAGTTTCAACTGAGCAGTGCCACTGTAGCAAATGGGGAAAAATCAACTGCAGTTGCTCAGCATAAAAATATGGTATTTACTGAAAAATGAAGTTATCTTGTTGACAAAAAGGTTATTATCCAACGCCTGGAGCAGATGGTGTGTCTTGTCCAAGATGAGTAAAGCCAGTGAGCACCTCTGAAATGCTGTGGTCATCAAAAAGCATTGTGGCATCTGGCACAAGCTGATCAGTATTGTCTTGGATCACAAAGCAGGTTCGGGATGTATAGGTGGTAGACTTAAACTTATGTTTTATCTAAAGACCAATGGACAACTCAGTAACAACAGAAATGAAATACAAATTCAAAACTAAACCAGCTTAAAGACTTCCATACCTGGAAGAAAGGCTCCTAATTTCTCTTCCTACATAGTCTTCGGAGTAGAATGAGGAAGAATGGACAGTAAGGAAACAGACAGCATGCTAGAAAGACAGGGCTATTTTGTGACTGATGAACAGCATCGTGACGGCCTGGGTTACGTAACGTACTTACATAAGTTTTTACTTTTTTCTGATCTACCTTTTGAGGTACTGGGTCTCACCATTTTCAAGTACTTTCCCACTAAAAATTCTTGTGATTTTAAATATAATAAAAATTTTCTGAAATATGCAAATGTAGGTTAAGGCATCAGAAGTGATTTGAATTCTACTTGCTTTAATCAAAATGACTACTGACCCTTCTAAATTCTCTTTTAGTCATTTTGGAACTATGTTCTATAATTATTAAATTACACAAACAGAAGATGTTAGAACTCAGGTAGAAGGACTTAGAAAAGATCTGGTAGTCATTTTGTTGATGAGAACACTGATTCTCTAAGCGTTAAAGTGGCTTTTCCAGTATGAGATGGCTTGGAGACTTGGGAACTAGCTATGTCCAGAGACTTGATTCAATTTGTCTTACAAAGAACAGAATCATGTACCTGAAATGATCTCGTGGTCTGAATGGAATAAGTCATTTCAAAATACTGAGGGCTTGAAATGTCTTCTTGATTAATTGCAAGAGTCTTTTGATAGTACTGTTTATTTCTATTTTCCTGAGGGCCTTAAATCAATTTTCATATCAAATTTCACAGCTAGTACAACTTGAGATTGCTTAGCTGTCCACCACTGTATACCAGGGAAGTGAAAATTGTGTGTGTGTATGTGTATGAGTTTAGTCTGCTGTGGGTCTCAAAGGCTTTGAGGGATCTGATAATGTCATCTCTGCTTCTAGTCAGGTTGGCTTCTAAATGAGGGTTGAAAAAAATAAAAAGAGCTGTGGGTCTCAAAGGCTTTGAGATTCAAAGAAACAGTATAGGGATCTGATAATGTCACCTCTGCTTCTAGTCAGGTTGGCTTCTAAATGAGGGTTGAAAAAAATAAAAAGGAATGACAGCTCCAAAGAAAATGAGTCATGGGTGGCCTTAAATTTTCATCAGATGATATTTTACAAGTATGAAAAACCGTAAAGTGTTTATTTGTGAAATATACCAAAGGGCTCTGAATGACAGGTTCACATGCTATGTTATTTATTTTATAATCTTGGCCTGTCCCAGATGCAGTCTAGCATTGTAAATTTCAGAATAATAATGAAATAAAATTGACTTTGTTTTCTTACAAATGCCAATATCAATGCTTTAGAGATGTAATAAGAAGAAACACAAAGATAAATTATTATGTTTGGAATTTTAACATCACCACTCAATCTGATTTAGAAATTCTCAAAACTGAGAAACGAGTAACAGGCTTCTAGTTAATAAAAATGGTGCATATAAACTGTAATGTGATGAGCTTAGAGCGAAACAAGACAAAAGCTGTCATACTCTAGCTCTGGTTAGTTCAGCTGATCTTTATTATCCAAGCATGCTGCTGGTTCTAGGATACTGCTTATTTAGAATTAAAGGAACTACGTGCACACTTGAGATACGCTGTTCATGTGATTAGTGAAGAATGTTTATTGTGGTTTCTAGAGAAGAATACCTGAACTGCAGGAACAAGACTCTGCTTATCTGAAAATATACATTCTACTTATGAACACTTCTCCAGCAGCCAAAGCTTTGTCCAGGCAATGTATCATAATTTAGAAGGACAGGATGCAGCTAGAAGTGGTAGCCCATGCAACAAGACAGGATTCAGAATTACAAATAAATAAACCATCTTGGAAAATTAACTCTAAAACACATATATGAAGGAGAAAATTGAACATATTCAGATATAAGAAAAAGTTGCAGTGAGAAATCAATCCCCTAAATACTAGCATGTACAACAAGAAAGTATGTAATAATTTCCACTACAGAAGCAACAAGGCCATAAATACTTAGGTATAATAACCAGAAGAAAATTATATAAAGTTAAAAGATTTCAGTTCAATGGGACATAGTCTGCTTTATGTGGAAAGACTTTACTATTGTAAAAACAAGTCTTCCCATGGGAATGTATGCAAATTCAAATTAATTTCAAATGGGAAATTAAAATGACTTAATAAATCATTTAAAAATTCATCCGAAGAATAGTAGGACAATGATTTCTATGAAAATGGGAAGCAGATGTGAGAAATATTAAAATACACTGTAAGGGTTGAAGGTACATCTGAGAGGTAGGACATGCTTAGAATGTGCCAGGCCCTAGGTTCAATCCCCAGCACAGAGAGGAGAGAAGGAAAGGGCAAGGGGGGAGGAGAAGAAAGAGAGTGAGAAAAAAAATCAAAATTAAAAAACAAGCATAGGTGGTATCAATTTAGGAATTATGACAATGATGAATTAGAAATGGTGGATTAGTAGAAATTCTGATATAAGAACTCATTATATTGTAATGAATGCATGATGGTTATAAAAGGAGAAACTATTCAACCATGAAAATTTGTTTGGAAAGTTTAAAGATAGTTTCAGTGTGCACTATATACAACAGACCAATCCAGATGAATTAAAGGCCAACTGGAGAGACCCAAAGAGATCGCTTAGACAAAGCATGAGACTATTTAGCTGATATTAAAGTCTCTAGTAGTGTTTTCTGTGAACAACATAGAACAAAGTAAAAATTCACACATGGCAAATGACAACTGAGTGTATATTTTCAGGAGTCATGAGACCGCATGAAAGACAGTCACTTACAGAGCTCATTAACTTCAGAAAGAATGCCTGCCACCTGGTAGAAAATGGGTAAAAGAGCTACAAGGGAAAACGTTTTGCTTTACTAGCAAGCACAGCTATAAACATTTTACAATATTCTCTGTTTTCTTCGTACTGTTCTTTCTAGTTAACGCTGGCAAGAATGGGTGCAGCAAGCACCATGGCTGCCTGGTGTGGTGATCGGCACAGCTGTCCAGATAGCACTGTGAAAGAATGCTTCCAAATCCTCAAACCCATTATTCCCTTTGCCACAGCAATCTCAGAACAGAATCCATCTGAAGAAATAGTTAGGGATGTATGCAAAGACTGTTGAATGCTGTTCATCTAAACCTGTTTAAAACAGTGTACAACTCTAAGCAATCTGTCTCAGATTACGGGCAAAACACATCATAGTATAATCATAGAATGAACTATATATGTAGATGCCACACACAGACATCTGAAGAGATGAGCTTATTAATAAACCAATACCCACGAGTATCTGGGGGACAGAAGAAAATAACTGAATATGGCTAGACATTGGGTATACTGCATTTTCTAGCAGATCTTTGAAGCATATTACATCATATCAATTACCTCACATGCTGAGAACCTGCTTGAGCATTGTTTTAAATTAATTATACTTTAAGTTAATTAATTTTTTATGTATATGAGTGTTATGCCTGCATGTGTGTAAGTACACCCATGTGGTGCAGTGCCCACAGAGGACAGAGAGGATATTGGAGCCTCTGGAACTGGAGTTATGGCTGGTTGTTAGCTGGGATCTGAACTCAGTTCTTCTGCAAGAACAGTTGGTGCTCTTAACCGCTGAGCCGTCTCTCCAGTCCCTGCCTGAGCATTCTTAAGCTGTGTCCAACTTACCTGCATAATCTTCTGCACCACAGTCATCTGTTGGGTCTTCAACTCGGCTGTAGCGGAAACGCTCCACCTTAGGAAATTTGTTCTTTGGGGAGTATGGCTGTATAGAGGTGCCATAGAAGACCAAAGACCATTCTTTCAATTTACCTTGAGAAATTGTAACAAAACCACAGCATGAACAAATAATAACTCATTAAATATTTCGCTTCTTTAAGTCCTCATACCAGAAAGAGCAACAGCAGAACCCTGGGATTGCTAGGAATTGTGCCCGATACAGGGCTATAAATGCATATTCCACATCATCTGCAGAATCAAATATTTAACAATTCAAGCACTATGCATTTACCGAGCACCCACAACAGGAAGAGTGGGAAATAAACATAACTGAGATGGCCCGATCAAGGGATGAATTTCAAGTTACAAGTATTAAGAGAATACCAGAATGTTTAAGAAGGCTTTGCTGCTCTAGGTACCAAAGTCTTACTTGAGATTTTTAGATTAAAAAATATATTTTATTTATTATTTTTATGTGTATGAGTGTATTGCTTGTGTGTATATAAATGCACCTCTGCTGCACAATGCCCACTGAGGTCATTAGAGGGTGTCGAATCCCTCGGAACTGGATTACGGATGATTGTTAGCCATTGTGTGAGTGCTGGGAACCAAACCTGGGTCCTCTACAAGAGCAGCCAGTGTTCTTAACTGCTGAGCCATTACTCCAGCTCCTTTTTAAAGATATTTTTATATCATCTGATGTGTTAATAAGTAAAACAATTCTTTGTTCTACCTAATTCCTGAATCGGCCACTCAATAACTGATCATACTTTTATGATTCTAAAGATGCTGCTACCTAATGTGATAGCCACTAGACATACTTAGCTGTTTAAATATAAATGAATTAAAAATAACTAAATTAAAAGTTTCAATTCCTTAAGATGGTACCCACATTTTAAGTGCTCCATGGAACTTGATAATAAATCCCATTATTGTAGAATGTTCTCCTGGGCAGTGATGGCTTTAAGTACCCCTTACTTACACTCCTGTAAGTTACCCCAATAAGCATATTGGTTCAGCAAGCTAGACTTGGGTGGAATTTTCTTTGGTCTTTTGTTAGGGCCCTCTCTCAGGAAAATAGATGTTTGCTCATTCTCTGTAGAAAATATACCATTTGCTAGCCTGGGAAAAATAAAAACTCAAATTCTTCTAAATGTACACTGCATTCACATAATCCAATACTCTTTTAATTTCATAATGAATAAATCTTTGTTTCGTTAATCAATTAATTAATTAATTGGATGTTTCTGTATGTGTGGGATGCTGTGAAGGTTAGAGGACAATTTGTGGGGGTCAGTTCTTTCCTTGGTGGATTCTAGGGATTGAACTCAGGAAGTCAAGCTTGGCAGCAAGCACATTTAGCCTACTGAGCCAGTCCCAAGTTTAATAATTAATTCGGGCTGCCATAAGTCTAGAACCATGGGTAATTCTGTGACACACTCAGCTTTTTCTGATATGTGCTGAGCTAGTAAAATGGGTTTATATGTGGTCTGCTCTTGGCCACCTTTTGTTTGGTAACGGACATGTTTTTTAACAAATGGGAGTTGGGGGGGTGCTCAAGGTCAGACTCCTAAGCAGCATGTGTTGAGCAGTGAGGAGTGCATGATCACTGGATGTAGGTGACTGTCTGATTCTGGGGGGAATCTTCCTTTCCTTAGGCCATCTGTTAGTATACTGATGGAACATATAACCCAGGACACCAGGCCATCCAGTTCTTGGATCACCTGAAAGCCTGGTTTATTTTGGTAAAAGTTTACCCTTATAAATCGCTCCCAACAGCACTGCCTCCAGGTTGATTATGTTCCCTTCGCCATGTTCCATAAGCCCACTATGGACATCCTCACTGGGCAATTCATCTCTAATTTTCCTTACTGGGTAACTTTATTTCTTCAGCATCTTTGCCATGATGCACATGGGCCATCAATTCTCTACAACGTTTTCTATTTGCTAAATTATGTAGATTTTTGAATCGATACTAAAACATGCTGTTAGGAAAATAGCTGTGAAAATACAGAATCCATCCTATTTGGTAACACATAAACAGTCTGCATGTTCCCCCTCTGTCCATCCATCCGCCCACCGCTCCTTCTCTTTCCCTCTCTTCCCATCTTCCTTCCTTCTACAGGGTGTAGCTCTATGATCCAGTCTGGCCTTGATCTTGCTGTGATTCTGCTGGGATTCCAGGTGTAAACCATCATCAACATGCCCAGCTAAACATTCTATAACTGCATATGATTCTACCAGAAAATTTGTCTAGAAAAATTTTATATGTCCAACTGAATTTTTAGCAGCTAAAGAAATCTCTTATGAATCAGAGACAAAGACACCTGCCATGGGATTGTGTGCTCTAGAGACAAGGAGAGAACTGGGTTCAAAGCCACCCAAAAATGGAAAAGACTCTGACTAAAGGTGTGACTCACCCTGAAATGAAAGAGTAGAAA